ATTTATTTTCCTGCCGATTCCATCGCAACTTCGGGCACACTTTATATACGGCGGTGTGCGAGTTCCGCGAGGATTTTCACGAGCGACGATATTTTCTTATGGGCTGGGATAACGCGACGATGGACCGATAATAACTGTCCGAAGCGGGAATTATGTCTAACCCTCGCCCGGTCGATAGCCGGCCATTTTTCACCCTCGTGTTGAGCGCCGACGAAAGGTTGCGCGCTCGACCTTTGTCCTCGGTCTTTTTATACTTTTTTTTATACTTTGGGTACTGCACGTTGCGGAATGTATTGGAAGAATCGTTAAAGAACATATTGTATCGAGCTGCTCGCTCTTCGAAAAGGATAATGAGGGTTTAATTTGACTCTGGTTAAATGACTACCAAGCAGTTGAATTGACTTCTCGAGATTCCTCTATAGAAACTCGAAGACTTCATCTACCTAGACTTTAATTAATTTACAATTCAATTTAGGTATTACTAAATCGATTCCTTTAATCATTTCTCAGAAAAACATCTGTTATCTTTGTAATAATTACAAAAAGACGTAATCAGGAAGTCATTCTGACCTATCTGATAGTTTCACTGTTAATTATGTATTATTCCTATCATTATTCTCATTATCGTTTATTATTCAGTGTCATTCAATTTATTATTCTCATTATTATTATTCATCGCTATTACTCTAATCTATCATTCTCATTACCATCATCGTTAGACTGCATCTACCTAGACTTTAATTCACAATTCGATTTAAATATCACTATATTCCAATTTCACTGTTAATTACGTATTATTCCTATCATAAATCATCATTATATTATTCACTATTCACTACTACCCTTATATTTCCTATTCTCATTGTCGTTTATTATACAGTACCATTCAATTTATTATTCTCATTATTATTATGCATCACTATTACTCTAATCTATCATTACCATCGTTACTAGCAACCGCCAACCGAAGAAATCCGAAAGTGATCCATTCCCAAGAAATAAAATTCCTCCGAAGTCGATCACAGATCGCTGGCAACCGCGATATTTCAGCTAGCGCGGGGTGCCGCGTGAATAAATGTCTGCCATCCCCCGGCAGCGTGAACAAACATAACTCTCGCGCGTGCCAGAGCCAGGCGAATGCTCCGCCATCTTTTCCTAGAGCTCGGCAAATTCGAGCCCGACACTCGATACACGTCTAGCATCGAACCAACGTGAAAATTTCGGGGCGAACGATGACTCACCCGTTGGTGGGACGAACGCGAATAGCACCTTCCAGAATATCGTGACGGAGTGCATCAGATAGTCCATGGTGGACGGCGCGGCCGGCTCGCCCGCGCCCTCGTCGTCCTCGTCGCCGCCGCTGACGGTCAACGCCTCCGTGAACTGCTCCTTCCAGGAGCTGGTGCCTGCAAACAGGGAAAAGAATTTCCATTAGATCAGTGTCTCGCGAGGGGTCAATTTGATTTTTAACCCCTTGACTTACTGTAAAGTACTCCGATTGTCACGAGCACTTTTGAGTATATGCTGAGTTTCTCGAAGGACCACCCAATGTTGGGACTAAATGACTGATTGACTGATAGCTGCGCTGATTTCAACTGAGTCTGATTGAAGCTGAGCTGATTCTCAACTGATTCTCACCCAATGTTGGGACTAAATGACTGATTCACTGATAGCTGAGATGATTGTCAACTGATTCTGACTCTGAACTGAACTGGTACTGATTTTGACTGAACTGATTCTGAACTGATACTTATACTGACTGTCAAACTGATCTTTTTTCTGACTGCTTGAAGGGTTTTTATCCTCCCTCCCTCTCGATATACGAAGGTGGGCCTCAGGGGCGGTTTTTCTATCCTTTCCTACGCAAGGTACCTACCCCTGTCTCATCCCCTTCCAGTCCGCCTGTAGCGCGGATTTCCTGGAGCGAGGGTGACGGAGTTGGTCGCTATGCTGAACGAATGTTTGGCAATGCTGGGGAAATTCCATTAGGTCAAAATCCTTGAGGACACTTTTTCTAAAATTCTAACAGACCCTCTGGAACACGACTCTACGATACCTGGACTGAAGTGAAAAAACTAGACAATGGTTGATCTCTACGCTGAACCCTTATGTAATCCCTAAAAAGATATTGACAAACATTTTTACAGAGTATTTGAGTCAATAATTGATTCTGAAAAATGTTCGTATCCAGTTTCTAAGCACAGCAAATTTCAACAGATCTTACTCGAGTTCCGACGAATGTCATTCTATTTACCAACTAACAGAGAATTCAACGAACCAAAATTCAACTTCCATGTACGGCAAAATCCTCGTAAAGCCAGTAAAGGCAACCAATTCTGCCGTTCGTAAAAATAGGTTTCGGTCCCGCAGATTGTGCTCCCGATTTCAAATCGTAAAGGTTTCCGCAGTGAAAGAGTAACGAAGAACTACGAGTTATAAAGTTGCGAAGGTTCCAGCGAACGTGTAACAATATAAGCAGCAACATCCGAGCTTCTGGAACGCCGCGCGTTCGATTTCTTTTCGAGTCTCGAGATGAACATCGCCGTCACGGGATTCGACTGCGTCGAACGTCGAGCCAACCCTTTGAGATTCGAAGGTTTGAAAATTTGAAAATTTGAAAATTTGAAGGTTTGAATGTTTGAGGATTAGAAGGTTTGAAGATTTGAAGATTTGAAGATTTGAAGATTTGAAAATTCGAAGGTTTAAAGATTTGAAGATTTGAAAATTTGAAAATTTGAAGATTTGAAGATTTGAAGATTTGAAGATTTGAAGATTTGAAGATTTGAAGATTTGAAGATTTGAAGATTTGAAGATTTGAAGATTTGAAGATTTGAAGATTTAGAAATTTGGAGATTTGGGAACTAAGAAATTTTACAATTTTGCAATTTTGCAATTACTCCCCATATAAGGAATAAAACTGTTATCGAAATGTGGTAGCGTTCAGCTAGATGAACATGCAATAATAATAATAACTCACTCGTTTGCGACTTGGTCTTTCAAATATGAACATTTCATCTGGCCAAAATGTCGACAGTCGTCCGCAAAGGGTTAAACTATACACCCTTTCCTTGATAGTTATGATTTTTGCATTATTTTAATCATTGTAAGGCATACTCCAGAAACAAAACGCGGCCTGAACTAATAGTCTTCAAAAAACGGTCTGGCAAGGAACGTGTCAATGCGCGTCGCGGACCGTCATTCTTCCCCAGCTTCGAGTTCCCGCTGAATTTGCATAGTCCCTCGCGTGAAAGTATTCGATCGGCTGTTCGAGGAAACTGGCTTTTAGAGAAATGAAATGTTAATGACCGCTGAGGATTTCGCGTGAGAGCTACTCACGAAATTCTAGAAAGAGGACAGATTATGGAAATTTCTACTTTTCTTCTTGGGTAGATTCTGTTAGAATGTTGACGATTCTCTGGAAATTCAGATTTTAAAATATAATTATTCTATACAACTTCAATAAGGTTATAATTCTATGACAATCGCTTTTGTAATAGTCACAATAATTTCATGGTAATTATAAATAATAAAACTTTGCAACGATAATTCCGTAAGTGATCTTCACATAGCAGTCACAAGAATTTTATACAATTTCGTAAGAATAATTCTAAAATAGTTTTCTGAGTCACAATAATTTGATGACAATTATGCTGTTATTTTAATAATAAAACTTTGCAACGATAATTCTCTAAGTGATTTTCATGTAGCAGTCACAAGAATTTTATACAGTTTCGTAAGAATAATTCTAAAATAGTTTTCTGAGTCATAATAATTTGATGACAATTATGCTGTTATTTTAATAATATAACTTTGCAACGATAATTCTCTAAGTGATTTTCATATTGCAGTCACAAGAATTTTATACGGTTTCGTAAGAATAATTCTAAAATAGTTTTATAAGTCAACAACAGTAAAGAATAATTCTATAACACTCGTCACAAGTATCATTTGTAATCCGAATATCTTCCAAATTCCTATCACTTCTATAATTACAAGCATCACCTAAATTGCGATGCAAAGAAGGGTTGCCGGGCGAAACGAATGAAAAATCCTCGAATTCCGAGAGATCTCTGACAGATGGGACAGGAGAAGAACTGAAACCACCTTTTCGAATCATCTATCCTTATTTTCTATCCGCTTGTTTCCCAAATTGCCCAATAAACTCCCGTACAAATTATCTGCTCACCCTAGGAGCGTCTACCCTCCGCACACTAGCAGGAATCAAATTCCCCGAGGAACAAAGTCTCTCTATCCCCCGTCGCGCAGCACGGATCACGGGTGATCCACCTATCGCGAACCGTGTCAAGATTGGCTGGAAGCTCCGGAGTTCTCGGAGGTTGAACGCCTCGAAATCGGGGAAGGGTTGGCTCGACGTTCGACGCAGTCGAATCCCGTGACGGCGATGTTTATCTCGAGACTCGAAAAGAAATCGAACGCGCGGCGTTCGAGAACCTCGGATGTTGCTACTTATATTGCAAAATTTCTTAGTTTTCAAATCTCCAAATTTCTAAATCTTCGAAGCTTCAAATCTTCAAATCTTCAAATCTTCAAATCTACGAAGCTTGAAACCTTCAAATCTTCAAATCTTCAAATCTTCAAACCTTCTAATCTTCAAACCTTCTAATCCTCAAACATTCAAACCTTCGAATCTTCAAATTTTCAAATCTTCAAATCTTCAAACCTTCTAATCTTCAAACCTTCTAATCCTCAAACATTCAAACCTTCGAATCTTCAAATTTTCAAATCTTCAAACCTTCTAATCCTCAAACATTCAAACCTTCTAATTCTCAAACATTCAAACCTTCTAATTCTCAAACATTCAAACCTTCG